CTTCTCGCAAATCTATATTACTTCTGATGGCGACTTATTAAACAATTAATGGTCTCTCTCAAATATCAAGTGCATTAAGGCTTGTTAAAACTCAAGAAAGTAAAGTGATTCAAAACATCCTTGGAGTGTGAACAATGAGAGGAAGTCTGATGACTCCTCATCGAGGCAGACATGCCTGTAACGAGAAATATGACCTTTGCAGCAGCAGCAAACGTAGTCGATCTTAATCTAAGACATCACAAACCAAGGATACTCTGTTACTCAAGCTGTATTAATCTTACATGAGCATAAACCATCTACTTTTCAGACTATGGGCTTATCGTGTGGGAGTCAAATAATAGCAGACGTCGACAATGAGACCAGCATGCAATATGGAGGAATAAGGGAGAGACAGATTTGCTTTCAGAAAGGAACTGTTCCTTCTACGATTCCGTAACCGGTGTCTCGTAGCGCAAGTTTTTAAAAGCTGCGAATACGGCACATATCACAAAGTGATAATCATACAAACAGCCAAACCTTAGATCACAACAACGACCAAGACTGACATAACTGCGTTTTGCGACCCTAATAAACGAAAACAGCGGAGGAACGGAAGATCACCACAAACATATTTAGCATGAACCTCGATTGTTCAATCCATTATAACTAGCATGTCTACGCCGTTGCTTTTACACTGTCAAAAGTCAGACCTCTGTGTTTTCCCACTTTCCAGTTTCACGTCACGTCAGCTGACTGCAACAAGTTTCATTACATGTCACGTTATTCATAATGGCAACTATGTGAGCCTCAAATTTAGATTTGTCATCGCATGGTCTTAGTATATATGGCCGTTTCTGCCCAATTGTGATCCGTCACAAAATGAGCAGATATTACTAGCAGACACAGGTCTTCATGTCTCTGGTTTAATAAATCTTAATCTCTCATATTCTCAGAGCTAGTAACGGCCAAAGTCGATCGGTCAGCGAGAAGATGATAAACACAATTAATAAATGACGTGTTTATGCCTTTTCAGCAGAATTCGTCCGGGAGAGAAAAGCTGATAGCTAATTAAAATCATTTTGGGATCACAGTCTTCCTTACTTATCCATGACTGGGCGCCATATGTGGCATTCTTGTTTCACCGAGTTTACAGAATGATGGCGATCTGTGCTGCTTTCTCATCAGACAGAAGTGCCGTATCGTTTTTAAGAATCTACGTACAGTGCTGGGATAATCCCTTCTGTACAGTCGTGAAATCTTGTTACCTTTCTGCGAATATGCACCCCTTTATTAACCTCTGAAGGAAGAAAAGTGAGCGACATAACTGGAGCTCGAAGTCGATTCGTTCGACTGTTCGACTGCAAGTACTGTGGTCTGTCTGGGAGCCACTCCGACAACAAACAATGATGAAACAATTCAAGGCCACCTTCCGTTTCAAAGCTTCACGAGAACGTGGTGAAATGATTCTACAATGTCACACACTGTCCGAGTCTGGCAGAAGATTACCGAAGAGCAACACGAGTGAAAAATTTGAAAATAATGCCTGACGAATAGAAGAAATTTATTCGCTTAAGAAAATGGATTTCTATCAGTGCATAGGAGTATACGTGGGATAACAACGAAAGAACTCAACACTTTCAACGTTGGAAACGCAAGCTTGTACAGTCATACATTTCTAGGTGCTCTGGGCTACTAAAGCAAAGAAAAGGTTACCTAAACCGTGAAAATCCAAAGAAGTGACAGAGATCGCTGTTTTACAGGCGATATCGCAAACTAGCAGTTTGCTAGCAAACCCATAATACTAGAGTTTATTTTTGGTTATGATATAATTTTGCTCTGCCGGATTTCTTAGCGTCGTGGATGAGGAAGTTTGGAATGACCTGTGCGCTGGAATGGCGTTCACGCTGCTTTTGGTATCTGAACACGGAGGCTCCTCGTATAAACGTTACCTCTATGAAAAGGTTATCATGCATCAGCAACAACTTGGCAAGTTGTCACATTACAGAGACCACAGATGACGCTATGCAATTAACGATTTCCTTCACGTTGATCTTAATGACAGGAGAAAACAGAAGACGGTTCGATGAAGAATACGAAAACCCTTACGTTGCAGATGAGCAAAAACCCCAATGAGTCGGTACAGGTAATAATTGACACCAAAACGAAGAGACAATAAATTTTACTCGAGGACGTTACTAAAAATTTCAACAGTCTCGTGAGTTACAAGCAGCCCTTACACATCGTGATGAACTCGGAATTCATCCGACCAGACCTGTCTAGACAGCCGTTTAAGTGACCCAACCCAAGGTACTTAACAGTGTAAGTTGGTCAAGATCAATTCGTTCAGAGCAGTTGTTCTCTGTTCGGCTATTAACAACAAATGGGGGGGAGGAGGAGGCAGTTGACAGTTGGTCAGCAGGTTGCTTTGCACGCTAGGGTGGAGTTCAAACGCAACGTGATGCCGTCATGAATTTTCTCTGATTAACTGTTCATTCCATTGAGCAAGGAATCCACCAAATGCACTTCGGTGCAACCAGCCGAAAATCGGATAGCAGGCCGATGACCTGTGAATAATAGGGAAAGCACTGTGCTTTGGTATGATCCTACCAAAGCATGCGAGATAGGTCACGCGGCCATGCTGTCTGATACATGCACTTTATGACGCTGCAGTTCGTCTGGACCCACCCGACAGCTAACGTAAAATCAACACAAGCAAATTTAAATGTAAAAAAATCCTTTT